ACTCCTCGTCGCACAGGGCTGACACCTTGTAGGTGCCGCTGGCCAGCAGGGGCCCGGTGGCGCCGTCGAAGGTGGTCAAGGTGGCCCCGGGTGTGATGTGACAGTGGCCTTCCCTCCTGGCGCAGGCCTGTGCCCCGTCACGGGTGACGCACGCCTGGTCCTGGGGACACCGCGTGTCCCGGCACGCCAGCCCCCGTGACGGGTGACAGTGGCATTCCTTGGAGCAGTTGTTGAAGGTGACGGTCTCACCCGCCTGGAACGGGAAGTCTCAGAGGTTTTGCCCCATCTCCCAAATTTTGGGGGGATTTCCTGACTTCTGAGGGGGGAGATCCCAGAGAGAAAGAAATTCAAGTGGATTTGGGGGAATTTGGGCAACTAAACCAGTAAATAGTAACTCTTTTCCTATTAATCACAAATATTTCCTGTTTCTTGTCTTTCTTTTCTCCATTAATTACTCCTTTTTTTCTCATTAATTATTAATTCATTTTCCCTGACTACTCCATTCTTAATTGTACTTTTCTTTCCCCACTCCAACTGTCCTCTTTGCTGTTAATTGTCCTTTTTTGACCCAAACCCTCCGGAAAGTTCCATCCCAATGCCCAACCTGACTCCACCAAACCAACCCCACCAGTCCCCAGGCTGGGGTGTCACCTGCCCTGTCACCTGACCTTGAGGTAGCGTCCCCTGTGGAGGCAGCCACAGCGCTCGGGTGACACGCAGGTGTCCCCATCGAAGACAAAGCCCTCGTCACACTGACACCCCTCAAAGCAGCCCCAGGTGCAGGGGGCGGGRCCCACGAGGGCGGCACAGGTGAGGTCACAGGTGCGGGTGCAGAGCTCGTAGTGGCTGTTGGGGGGGCAGGACAGGGCTGGGGAAAAAGGGGGAAAACACCATTGTTGAGACAATGCTAAAATTGTGCGGGATTTTGGTCAAAATCGGGACATTTTCAGAAAAAAAAGTTTGTTTTTTTTTTTTAAATTGAAGGATTCTTTATCAAAACGGAGCTTCTTTCCTAGTCTGAGTGTTTTCATCAAAACTGGGTTTTTTTCCTTATTAAAATTGGGTTAATTTTTTAATATTTGAGGGCAACATTCCAAACTGCTGTTTTCTCGCTATATTGGAGTTTTCGGTAAAATTTGATGTATTTTACAAAACTGGGGGCGTGTATTGAAAAATTTATGGCTTTTTCTTGAAAAAATTTTAGGTTTTGCTCAAAAATGGACAATTTTTAGCAAAATTGGAAGCCTTTTTGCATTCTTTTTTTCAAAACTGAAATCATGTTTTTTTTTTCAAAGTTAGAGTAAAAAAGTCCAAAATTTGTGGGCATCTTTCAAAATTTGATTACTTTTCAAAATAGTGAGCAATATTTTTTTCAGATTTTCACCCCTTTTCACAATTGAAACGTTTTTCATCAAAATTGCGGGAGAACTTCCARATTGTGAAGGAATTTTTGCATATTGGGAGGATTTTTTTTCAAAACAGAAGGCTTTTTTTTCTAAAATTTGAGCAAATTCTTTCAAAAAGTAAAGGCTTTTTAGATACTTTTAATTTTTTTCACTTTTGTAGAATTTTTTTAATGTCAGATAATTTTCCCCAAAATTCAAAATAATTTTTGCAAAACGTGAAGAAGATTTTTTTGAAACTGGGGTGGATTTTTTTTCAAAAATTGAGGCAACATTTTCCAAAAGAAGGGAAGTTTTCCTAAACTGGGTGGAAATCATTAAAAAAAAATTTAAAAAACTCAAAGTGGTTTTTCCAAAATTTTGACTGTTTTTCAGGAAGAAATGTGGCTTTTGAGGAAAAGAGTGGTGAAATCCCGCCTGACTTACGGCAGAAATCCTTCGTCCTCCACGCCCCGACCATCGCACCGGCGGCCTGGCAAGCGGCCGCGTACGCCTGCAGCGCGTGGCACAGGGCGGCGCGGTCCCCGTTGGCGGCACAGACGTCGTGGATGCAGTGGGTGAAATATTCCACAGGGCTGACGTGGGGGTGGCACCCCCGGAACGGCCCCTCCGCGTCACGGATGATCCCGCAGGATCCATTCCCGCCGTACGCGGCCTCGTCGGTGACATCGCACCTGCCACACGTGCCATCGTCACAGCCGTCGCTGCACGCCCC